CCTTATATTTCGTAACAATATATTCAAGAACAAAATTTCTTCGCTGTAGGAAACGATTTAAAACAATTTTTGTGTCAATAGATAATTAAAAACTTGTTTTTTAAAAGCCCCAAAGCAATTTAAGATTTCAATTGAAAATAATTTGAGAAATTTTTTAAACTTTCATGTAATAAAATTCAGAAATTCAGATTCAAAATTTTCTTAGAATACTCAATGAAAACATGTACATGATATATGGTTAGAAAACTCTCACAAAGCATGCCAAAAAAAAAAAAAAAAAACTCTCACCCCATAGAACAAAAACCTCAACGTTTCCAAGATTAATTACAAAAAATTTCAAACGAAATTTTATCATTAACTTTAGGTTTTATATCCAAATTTAGAATTACTTTAATAAATAAACAAAATTGGGTCTTATAGTCATATATGCATAGCTTTGTTACCAAATGAAGAAGATAATTTTCAACACATTGGTCAAATCCAAGAGCAGAAACGAGAAAATGATAATGCGTGGAGGACTAGTATAGCTTTAGATATGTGGAGAGCCGTTGCTTAATAATTTTGAATGTTTGTTAAAAACTATATTATGTTTTACTCATTAAGAAAAACATATTAGTTTTTACTTTATTTTATTAGTATCATTGTATTTTTTGTTATTTTTTTATTGACTCTTGTAATTTTAAATGTTTGTTAAAAAAATTCATATGATTTTTTAAAATTTTATAAATCCATATTGTCTTTTTAAATCTTATAAATTATATTAAAATTCTTTAAAATCTAATCTTATTAAATTTTGATTGCAAATTTTTTTTTAAAAAAAAAGTCTTTAAAGTCATGGTAAACGTCCAATAGAGACCGACAAAGGTTTGGGTGTGTTTGTATGTAGAACCCACAAATGACTGGGTAGAACCCACAAAGTTTGTGTATGTCTGCATGAAGAACCCACAAAAATCTGAGCTTATATTTATTATTCATGATATTATTTTCTTATTACAAACATATTTGAGAGAATGATATTTTTCACTAAAGTGACTAGATTGGTTACAGTTCAAAAATCTCAATATTATTGATATTTATCTTACGTGTGTTTGTTTTTGTGCTAACTTTTCCAGAAAGTAAGCATGACAATATGTGTAGCATTGGAGTAGGATAAATCACTGATTAAAATCTTTGAAAATTGCACGGAGTTCAGTGGATTATGATGTGTTTCAGATATAATAAAAAACTTGATTTTTGTATAATTTTAAGAATATTTTATCTTATATGTTATTTTATATCTGCGGCACTAGAATCTCATTAGAATTCTTATTTTAAATAAGATTTAAAAATTAATATGGTATCTTGTAGGATTTTACAACCATATTTTATAAGTTTTTAACGAGATACACGGCATGCTCTCTCACACATTAGAAACACGTGATCTGCCTTGTCATTTTCTTTTCCTGGGAAAACAGAAAGACAAGTCAAAAAATTGACTAATAATTTAATTTACCTTTCACCAGCACGATGTTCTCATACTAACAAAGAGTGAATTTTGGCTAATTGGTAAAAAGAAACTAAAAAACGGATATTAATATTTATAATTACTTAATTAGTATAGACAGGTTATATAGTGTCACAACAATTAGAAAATATTTTTCTGGTACAATAAAAAAAAAAAATGGGATGTTATTGTTATCTAACACAAGGCACAAACATAAACCTATGAGGTAGGAGGTGTTGCACTTCCAATAGAGACATGTTTGAGCGTTTACCGAAAGAAAAAAAACGACACATGTTTGAGCTCGTGTTACTCCCATTTTGCCAAAAAGTCACCAGCAAAAGTGGGGCAAAGGTTGAAAGAAATATTAAGAGAAATGCTAACAAAGTAAAGTAGTCAATTGTATCTCATTTAATGCATAAAGTACCTTGACAAATATATGATTTAGGTTATTTTATATTTTTTTAATTAACTTGAATAAAATTAATTATTCAAAATAATATATGCAGTGAAAGTGTAGTTGTCGAAATTTATATATGTTTAGTTGTTTATTTGACATATATAATAGGAATTTTTTAATTGTTTATTTCTTATTTGTTTCTGTTTGACAGTACGTTTTTCGAATACATTTTCGTTGATTAATAATTTGGACGGTAATCGTTTTTTTTTTTTTTTTGGAAACATTTGGACGGTAATCGTTGAAGTCAAATGAACCTTAATTACTATGAGTAGCATCACTATCAGACTTGACTGTGAAGTTGAGGTTAACGCTTCGTTTGGTATGTCATTTAACGCCGAAATAATGATTGAGGGGATGATGTTTTAATACACTTCTCATTTTTCTAATTTTAATGGTATTTTTTTATTTATTTTGTAAAAAAGATAACTTTTTTATTAATTAATCTATTATTTAATCATATTTTTAAAATGAATTTATTTCCAAATCTCTTCTTTTATCCCATAGTATAATCCAGTGCAATTAAATTCGATCCAGGCATCGATCCGGTCGAGATACTGGGTTACTAGTCGGACCGGTGGGTCACTGGTTGGACCAGTTGACCCGGATATATATATAGATATATAAAAATATATATAAATACGAACATATAAATTCAATTATATCATTCATATCTAAAATGAATTAAACAAGGTTCATTAAATAAATCCAAAAACAAGAAGCATAAATAAATAAAAATGCATGTTATTACTATGTCAATTTAAATTGCAACTCAGAATCCCCATAAACATACCTCTCAATGACATTGAACTCATATTTTTTTAAATTCAACTACATTAAAATGACATGTTATATTTTCTTAATTTATTATTTTACAAATTGCTTCAGTATTAGAAGATAAAATTTGAGATCATTGTAGAAGAGTATACTAGCAAATAAAATTACAAAATATTTTAAAATGAGTTCTACATTTTTTTTGACAAGATGAAACAATTTTGGTTCTTTGGTTTTTTTTTTTTAATGCATGACCCGACCGGGTCACTGGGTCACCTAGTTTGGCCGATTTTGTTCGAGTTTTGACTGGATTTGAACGGATCGATACATGATCGGTCCAATGCTTAACCCGAACCGATCTGATGACCGATTCACCGAGTTCCGGATCGACTCAGCCGGGTCGGGCCGGGTTTTACAACTATGGTATAATCCTTCATTTGCTTCTGATTTTTTTTTTCTCTAAATTACTTCTATTTAGTTCATTTTTCATGCTGGTTTAGTTTTCTAAAAATAATTAAGGCTTTAATATTTATAATGTAGAGAAGTTATCTATATTCATTCTCAAAATGGTATCGTTTTGGGTTGAAAGATTAAAAAATTGTAATGAAAAAGACTATTATAACCCTGAAATAAATTATAATTACAAAAATATCTTATTTTTGTCCTAAAATGACATCATTTCAGGCTCAATGTAAATAACTTATCTACATTAACTGTAGAAAAATGAACCCAATAATTAAACCAAATTTTAGGACATAAACATGAATGTTCTTGGAAAAGCGACGAACAGTTCCAGTGTGTAATAAAAGAAGAATTTCGCAAATAAAATTATTTTAAAAATGGAAACAATAATAAGATAATTGATAAAAATAACTTTTTAAAAATTTAAATAAGGATAAATTTAAAAAAAAAGACTTGAAAGTAAAGTGTTTAAATAAATATATCGGAATGTTAATAAATCCACCCTAAAGTGAAACATTTTAATAACATTAATCTTATATTTTTTGTTCTCTCTTTTAACATAAAAAAGTTATTTTTGTAAATCTTATCATTTATTTTATTTTTTTGTTCAAACGCCTTTTTTTTTAGTCAAATCAAATTAAAGAAAAATCTCTTTCTTTTTTTATCTTTATAGTGTATTTATATAATGTAATCGTGTTCAGTGAGAAAGTCTCTTAATTCTAATGTTTTTTTTTTCTTTAGTCTTGATTTATTTACTAACAATTAAGATTAGCATATTAAATGAAACTTAAGAGAATTTATGGGCATTATTTATCTTTCCATGTTTTCTTATAGTGTATCTTTTTTCTTTCGACTAAAGGACACCAAACATAGGCGGGAGCACAACCGAGTGACTAAGAGCATGTTTGACACTTTTCTTTTTCTAAACTAAAAGTTATTTTTAAGTTAATGTTTAAAAAATAAAAATAAAAAATAAAAAAAAAAGTTATTTAATAATTATATAAAGGTATTTTGATGGTTCTGAAGAAAGAAAAATAAAATAATTTATTATTAGAATAAATTATTATGATAAAGAATAAAAATTACAAATACAAGTTTAGAATGACGGTGTAATTCTAAAATTAATATGAGAGTCAAAAAAGCTAGCACACATCTTAAAAAAAAAAACTTCTCTCTCGAGAGTTTTTAATTTTTTTCTTTATAGTTAAAAGAAAATTATAATAAGAACTTTTATAAAAATATATTTGACTAATATTTTACTTTTAAGAAGAAGAAAAAAAATAAAAAAATACGAAATGCAAAACTTTTACTAAATAGAAAATACAAGTACTAGCAATTGGGAAGAAGATGACAAGGTTGGGCTAGTTGTGGGTTCAATAATGGGACTTCGGCCCTGAGATTCTTGTGTTTTTCCCTAACAAACAAATCAACGGTCCATTATTACTCCTCACTGGAGGAACAATTGAAGGTCCAAACATATGATAAAACAGAAATCCATCTGCCACTCATTTCTCTGCCACGTGGAAAACAATCAACGGTCAGCTTCCCCCAACAACTTTCCTGTTTTGTCTTTTGCTTCAGCCTAAGTGCATGGGTCGCTCTTGCATCCTTATAAGTCTCTTCACATGGTTCCACTCACACACACAGAGAGAGAGAGAGAGAGAGAGAGAGAGAGAGAGAGAGAGAGAGAGAGTGTGTGTGTGTAAGTGTGTGTGTGTGTGTTATCAGCTTATTAGCAACAAGGTGAGGCCAGGATTGCTCTCAAATCTTGAAAAAGGTTAAAACTTGAAGAGACCCTTATCCCTATCTTCTTCAATACACAATTTACATATATATATAACAGTACTCTTCTCAGCAACATAAAATTTCTCTGTTCTCAATTCTCAGTTCTCACACTCATATTAACTTATAATAATAGTCTTTCCCTTTCATTTTCTTTCTCCCTTTTTCCCCATTATTCACTCAGTGATTGCTTTCTTCTTTTAGTGCTTCTATCAGCAATAAAATTTGGATTATTGTTGATGATTTTCTGAAGTGGGTTTTTCTGAACTTTCTGTCCAAAATTACCTTTTGTTCTGTGGCAGTGCCAAGAGGGAAAGTAATGGCCCCAAGGTCAGGGAAAGGGAAATCAAATAAAGCTAAGGCAGAGAAGAAGAAAAAGGAAGAAAAAGGTCAGATAAAGAATATCAGATATTGATTTACTTGTCTTCCCTTTTTTTGCACTAAAAAATCTGACTAGAATGCCTTTTTCTCCTACGTTTGTTTATTATGTGTTTTTAGCATCAGCGCCTACTCTTGTAGACATCACTGTGTTCACTCCCTATGATTCGCAGATTGTCTTGAAGGTACATGCATATCTGTATTTCACATTCCTAAAATGCGGTTTCATATCACTAACTATGTTTCTGATGGAATTTTTCTGAAGGGTATCTCTACTGATAAGATACTTGATGTAAGAAGACTATTGGCTGTGAAGGCAGAGACATGCCATTTTACAAATTATTCTTTATCTCATGAGGTTTGCATTTTTTTGATTAATTATTTGATATCAATAATTTATTCCGTATATGCCAACCTATTCTGCTACTCAACTGATTTCAATGTTTTTCTTCCTCTAGGCCAAAGGTCAGAGATTAAATGACAGAGTGGAAGTTGTTACCCTAAAGCCATGTCTTCTGAGAATGGTTGAAGGTAGGTGAATCCTGCATACTTATCATCCAGCATCAACTACCATTTTGTGTCACGTTTTTTTGTGTATTTAGTTGAATCTACCATTTGTAGGTATATTTTGGCAACTGTAATGTACTTTATATTATTATATTTTAGCAAAAAGGACAATAAGCTTATAGGCCTATAGGGGGGTGCAGATGCAGTACAAATTATTCATTGAAGAAAAATAAACCCATTGTTTTTATTTTTAAGGCTAACAGAACAGCTGAGGGGATGTATATAAATAATGAAATTTTGTTTTTAGTCCTGGGTAGTAATGGGGTTTTATCATTTGGGTTGTGTTGTTAATGCTGCCCTCTCGTTTCAGCTGAAATATTTGGTATCTTTAGAAGTTTGAAGTACCAAATAAATGAATAAATTAAAAAAAGGTAGTAGAATGCAAGAGGGCATTAGGTCGGAAAACCAACAAATTTGTGTGGATTCTCATGCTGTAAAACTTTATTTGTCCATGGTCACTAATGTCAAAATGGTTTGAATATTTTTTTTATTGTGACCCATTTTTTTAATTTTTGTTTGTCAATTATCGTTTTGACCTATAATTTGTGTATCATTCATGTTTTGTCGTATCAACCTCCAAAATTTGTGTGTCGTGTTTGTGTCGAAGATTCTGACACGAATAAAAATTCGTGTTTTGTTTGTATTGCGTGTATTCATGTCATGTCAAATTCGTGTCATGTTGATCCTTTTGACACCCTCTATTGACTTGTCATTTGTGCATTGTTCCTTAAACTGAAAGATATATACATTCTTTTAAATATTGGGAAAAGTGTGTTATTTTATAGGAGTGAAATGAAACAAGTTGTGTGATTTAAAAGAATAAATATATTTTTTTAAATATTTTGTCATTGTAACTACTATTTGGCAAAATGACATGTGAGTAACCTGACATAGAAGTTATGGTTATGAGGTGCTCTTTAATACCAACCACCACATTGGAGGAGACACAACGCGGTTGTACCTTAGAAAAGATCTTATGACAAATAAAATTAACTTTTTTGCGGGGCCTATAGTAACACATAGAAAGCATTGATGTATTGTTCAAATAAATGCTTTGGAAAAGAAAAGAAAAAATTAATGCTCAAAATCTCGATTTAAATATTTCATTTATTAGAAAACGTGTGTCTGTTTTTACCAATATGTTTATACCTTTCGTATGCGTTTAATGCAAGCGAAAACAACAATGCATCAAAACATATATTGCGTCCATAATTATTTCTTTCACACTATTTTTATATTTCCATTCTTAGAAATATTTTAAACAGAGAAATATTATTGTCATTTTCATTGTCGGTGATATTTTTAATTTTGTGTGGATACACGCATTGGTTTTGCCGATAATTGTTGTCATTTATTCAAATTCAAGTTGAATCTCGGTGGAATACCAAACCCCACTTTTCTTTTCCCATCGCCATCCAATATTTTTAGCTTTATTTTTTTTTTTAGCTAAGTGACTTTTGATCTTGGGAAATCTTTCGATAAATTAATTTAGCCATTGAAAAAATATTATAAAATTATCATTGATTGGAAAAATAAATTGCATACAATGATTAAAAACCATCATTTAAATTTTTCTTTGATAACACTAAAGAGCCTTTTGTTCATGGCACTGTATTACAGAGGATTACGCAGAGGAAGCCCAGGCAGTGGCACACGTGCGGAGGCTCTTGGACATTGTGGCCTGCACAACCAGGTTCGGGAAGCCCAAACGAGGCTTGTCAAGCCCAGACTCAAAGCCCAAGAAGAACGGCAAGGCCCAACATCAGAATAAGACCAGTTTGAGCCCACCTGCAACACCCAATGGGGAATCCCGGGTCGGGTCACCGTCGTCGGAGCCGCCTGCATCGCCGATCTCGGATAACGTGGGCATGGTGGCCATTCACCCAACACCAAAACTCTCAGATTTCTACGAGTTCTTCTCGTTTTCTCACCTCTCTTCCCCGATTTTACGTGGGTATCTCTGTCTCTTCAGTTTTCATCTGTTTTTTTTTATTATTATTTATTATTATTATTAGTGGGTAATGGAGATTATGGTTCAGAGGAAGTAAAGTTTTGATTTTGGCCATATGGGTATTTATGTCTTTTGCAGATTTGAAGAGATGTGAACTGAAGGATGAAGATGAGAGACGCAAAGAAGATTACTTTATGCTTCAGGTAGTGGCTTTTTCTTTTTTAATTTTTTGGTTACGTTTATTATGATTTTGAGCTTTGTTTGTTACTTATTGAAATATTAATCATTTTTGCTTGCATCTGATGTGAGATGAAAATGTTGTTGGTGCATGAAGGTGAAAATATGCAATGGGAAGGGAGTAGAAGTGGTAGCTTCAGAGAAGGGGTTTTACACTGTAGGAAAGCAGTCTTTGCAGAGCCACACGTTGGTTGATCTTCTGCAACAGCTCAGCCGAGGTTTTGCTAACGTAAGTTCATGTCTCTATTCACATGGTTATTGAACTTCTTGGTGTCTGTGTGGTGATACTGTCTATGCCACTGTTGAATAAATCTTAAGTGCTAGATTACGTGTATTTCATCAATGGAAGCATTACATATCAGAAGAAAGAGAAAATTTGGCAAAGAAAAGAAAATTTTGACTTATATGTAATATTTTCATTGGTGAAATGCAGCTTTAGTGCAATAATAGTAGCACCAGAGATTTGTTCGCTATTGTTAGATACTTAGGTTCACTTAGGGCCCGCACCCCAATTCATGTTTGATTTCTTTTATTTTTGGAAAAAATATTTATTCTTTTAAATAATATAAGTTGTGTCATTTCATTCTCACAAAGAGGTGAGATTCATATCTTTATTTTTTTTAATCCACTCTTTCTCCCCCATCATCTATTTCTTTGAAATAACACACATTTTTCATCATTTAAAATAATACATATTTTTTCCTTTATTTTTATATAGTATGTTTTTATTCTTAATTACAAAATTTTATTTTTATTTTATTTTTAAATTTTTTTGATGTTTTTGTTTTTGTTTTAAATTCAATGTTAAATGTGTTAAGAAATTTTATAATATTTTAATTATTTATTAATAAATTAGGGCGATGAGGATCTTATTTACCAAAAAAAAAAAAAGGGCGATGAGGATTTTTTTTGTTAACATAATGGGGAAAATCCCCAAGACCAACTCAAGTTAAAACAACATTGCGAAAATTACAGACCAAAGAAAAATTTGTCAAATACAGAGGAAAAATACCAGGGGGAGGGGAGCTAAAAATACAAAGATTGTCCACCATTACATGGTCCAGGGGATACTTAGATAGCCAATCAGCACAGCTATTATTTTCTCTATAAGTATGAATGAGCTATACATCCCAATCTTTCTTCAGCCAAGCTCGAATGCGAGCCATCAATCGGGACTCTCGAGCTGCTACACCATTTTTGGTGAGCAAAGTGATAACTGAACTAGAATCACTTTCTAAGATGCACCGTCTCCAACCCCCAATCCAAGCAGCTTGAAGACCCTTTAAAACACCCCACAGTTCAGCCACAAAAGCTGAACATTGGCCAATATGATATGTCAAACCATGAAGCCAGCGACCAGTTTTATCTCTTAAGATAGCCCCACAAGCAGCCCCTCCACCATTACTTCTAGCCGCCCCATCTGTATTTATTTTAACTCAACCAGACTCCGGAGGTTCCCAACTAAAAGCTTACCGAAAAAATTAATTCAATGTAAAAGCTTAAGTGATTATGTAAAGACTCGTCAATGAGTTTACCGAAAAAAACAAAAAACTTGTAATAATATTATATTATATTTCTCTAATATTTTAAAGGGAACTTATCACTATTTTTTCTTACCACCTCTTATTAGGGGAGCCACGTTAGGTGTGGGGAGGGCCTTGGCCCTAGCTAAAATTTGAAAATTAGCCACGTTTGTAACGTGACTAAATAACCTTCCACATTTTAGTGTTTGACATCAGCTAAATTTTTCTTAGTCATAGCTGGCTTGGGAGGTTGGCTCTGCCACTACCTCTTACTATCAATTTTGTTATCGTCGGATTAAAATCCAATCAACGACTTTCATTTGATGTTATTTTGTAATTGTTGATTTGATTTTAGTCCAACAATAACAAAGGTAATAAGAGGTTGTAAGAAAAAATGATGGTAAGTATAACCTATCCCTATTTTAAAAATTAAAATATAAAAATAAGGTGATATTTTAATAATTAATGCTGAAAAAACATATTAATACAAAATTTAAAACTAAAGATAAAACAAGTTAGCCATGATTTTAATCCTATCAGATTTTCTTGTTGGTGAGTTGTAAGTGTTAGTTGAGCTTGAATGTCTGCTTTGACTATATCACAAGTCACAACCCCCCTTAAGCTTAAATTTTAATTGGGAAAAATTATACTGACCATCGTTTTAATCTTAACACTCTTATTATCTATTTGGTTATTATTGGATTAATTTGAAATTAATGGTTGAAATAGAGAAAAAATTAATTGCCGTTAATTTTAAATTAATTTAACGATAATCAAACAGATAATAAAAGTGATAAAACTAAAATAATGATAAATATAACCGCCCTATTTTAATTTGCCAAAAAAGAAAAAAGAAAAACACCCCATAATAATTGTACGATACTTTCTTGCTCAAGCGAGAACTTAAGGGTGTGTTTGGTACAACGGTATCAAAAAGATTGCTGGTAAACCTTCTTTGGTAAACGTCAATTACCATGTTTGGTAGAAGTAACAAAAATCAGTTCCCGGATATCCAAGGTTTACCGTAATTTGATTTACAAAGAAAAGTTACTATTCAGATTATCAAAAATAACATGGTAATTCAGAATTCCAAGTAAAGGAAAAGCACAACAACAATTTTTGAGACAAAAATATCCCAACTCACATCAAAACCTAAACCCAATATATCAAGTACAAATTTCAAAAGTAAAAATAGTTTGGGGTTATTTTTGTAAAATAACCTCATATTCCAAGTCATATTTCGTTCTAAACCAAACATGGAATCAGTAATCTTTACCCAATATTCCCGGTGATATTTTGGCGAACCAAACACCTTTTTCGTAACATTCCGAGTAAACTCAATTTCTAGTGTATTCCCAGTAATCGTGATTCCCGGATACCAAAAAATTTCTCTTGTACCAAACACACCCGAATTTCTCTTTTCAAATTCTGTATCATCCTAAGATCCTAATATCATATTTTTTTAATTGTGATTGATCCAATCTGGGTGCGGGCCCTATGCAGAAAAGTGATATAAAAGGGAAAATTTCTTATATTTTTTCTAAGAAATTTAATTTAAATTTTATTGGATAATATTTTAAATTTAATTTAAGGACATACATAATTATGATGTCTGCGCACTACAGTGAATCAGGTATAGAACGATGGTGCAAGTAAAAGTTGTCAACTAGTACAATCGGACTGTGTTTGATTCCAAACCTTTATCAAGAAAAAAAAATTGTGCCACAATTATTTCCTTACTAATGAAATGTGTAAGGGTTTTAATATTTTTGTTTGTACTGCATAAAAAATCTCTCTGTCACATGTAAATGTGACAATGTGACAGAGAGATTTTTTTTAGAGTTGTTGAGATATATAAAACCATTAATGTAGCCTCACCTAACAGCTTAAGCTTTTTATTTTAATTCTACTTGAAAGTGGGAGGCGGTGAGAGCTCAAGCTCTGATACCATGTTAAGAACCTTGAGGTCACCACCCCAAAAGCAACCTTGAGGTCACCACCCCAAAAGCTAGCTCAAAGGGTGAGAAGTGCCCAAGACCTTATAAACTCCACATTAGTTGCACATACAACCAATGTGAGACTGCCCCCTCACACGAGAGCCCACTAGGCTTGAAGGGTGGACAACATACAAGCCCACATGTGGAAATTCCACTACAAAGAAAGTGGGAGGCGGTAAGATTTCGAACGCTCTGATACCATGTAAAGAACCTTGGGATACACCACCCCAAAATAGCCCAAGGCCTTATAAATCTCACATTAGTTGCCCATATAACCAATGTGGGACTATATTTCTCAACACGCCCCCTCACATGAGAGCCCAGGACACGAGGCTCTGATACCATGTAAAGAACCTTGGGATACACCACCCCAAAAGCTAGCTCAAAGGGTGGGAAGTGTCCAAGACCTTATAAACTCCACATTAGTTGCACATACAACCAATGTGGGACTATATATAGTCCCACATTGGTTGTTATATAGTCCCACATTGGTTGTATGTGCAACTAATGTGGAGTTTATAAGGTCTTGGACACTTCCCACCCTTTGAGCTAGCTTTTGGGGTGGTGACCTCAAGGTTCTTAACACGGTATCAGAGCGTTCGAAATCTCACCGCCTCCCACTTTCTTCGTAGTGGAATTTTCACAGGGCTTGTATGTTGTCCACCCTTCAAATATGTTAATATTTTGCCTGTCTATATTTTCATAGTCATAAGCACGTCCTTATGCATGGTCACATTGACACAGTTACAGTAATATAAGACAATCATCTGAGATGATATCTTCCTCCTGTATTGGAATACTTTGAAGATAGAACATATTGCATCATTATTTTATGTTGGTTGGTTTATAATATTTTAATCAAACGCTACCTCTTGAACTTAAATATCTTGATCGGAATTTTCTATTTGATATTCTTGTGAATTAGTAGCTAGTTTTTGATAATGTGATTTCTACATAACTTGTTTCCAAATTTTATCTTGTATTCTGGTCCCACTGAATAAGCTTACAAGTCAAGCTATCTGAAAACAATAATGTAGAAATATGTCTGCTAATTATTTATCAGACGTAAGAGTTTTTATCTCAAGCAAGTAATTTAATCGTTTCACTTTGTGCTTCTAACAATTGACTGATTAATGCAGGCATATGGATTATTAATGAAAGCTTTTTTGGAACGTAATAAGGTACATTTTACATCAAATGAAATTGATTCTTTCCTTTTGTTTTAAAAAAAAAAATTGTGTTTGGAAAATTTATTGGGATAAGAGCATATGTTCGATCCTTCCCAGTAATATTTTTGGGAAGGGTTTGGTTTAAAGTCTTAATCTCGGAATCGCTTTGAATAGTATTGCCTCTCATGAAGGATACCTATGGTTTATCCGAAAAATGTGTTTTTCTAACAACTTTGCTCCTTCAGTTTGGAAATGTTCCGTGTGGATTCCGAGCAAATACATGGCTAGTCCCTCCTTCTGTTGCCGAGTCTCCTTCAAACTTTCCTTCTCTTCCCGCTGAGGATGAAAACTGGGGTGGTAATGGTGGTGGTCAAGGAAGAAATGGTGAATACGATCTTAGACCATGGGCAACAGATTTTGCAATATTGGCTTCTCTTCCTTCCAAAACTGAGGAGGAGAGGGTGGTCAGAGATAGAAAAGCTTTTCTTCTGCACAGCCAATTTGTTGATACTTCAATATTTAAGGCTGTTGCAGCTATACAGCATGTCATGGAGTCCAATTCAAATTTGAAGATTGAATTGAACTCTTGTCCAGATTCAATTCTGCATGAACAGCACATGGGGGACTTATCCATTGTTGTCAAACGTGATACTAGAGATGGAAATAGAAAGTATGATTCCATATTGAACGAGTCCAGTATGCTTAAAGAGGATGCTCAGAAGAATTTAATCAAAGGGTTGACTGCAGATGAAAGTGTAATTGTTCGTGTAAGTCATAATCTTCTGTCTTGCAACTATATAGATGCATATGTATATGTAGAGTTAGGTATGCATTACACATCCTCATGTCTGCAGACACATTATTCTTTTGCCTCATCCTGATTCAATATATACCTCAACAAGCAGCAAAGTATAATTAGTCTACTTTCATCTCCCTTTGCTTTGTCATTGTGCCAAAAATCACATTGAATACCATTCTTTCTTTTAAAAGAGTTATGTTCATCAATACATATTATTCTTTTGTCTCCTTGTTGTCTCACATAGCACTCTCAATCTTGGTGTCTAAATCTTGTATCTATAATCCAGATTGTTGGAGCCATTTTGTCTTTATGATGCATGCCTGATTGCTTCTACTCTTACCCATTGAAATTCTAAAATTGAGTGTTATATTGGTTGTGAACTTGTGTGGTCAGAGCTTTAACACATTTAAAATGATTTTTTTTATTTTTTTTTCCGCCTTGTTGTTTTCAGGATACTTCATCCTTGGCTTTCGTTGTTGTGCACCACTGTGGATATACTGCAACAGTAAGGGTTGTTGGTAATGTGAACGTGAGGAAGCCTAAAGTTCGAGATATTGAAATAGATGATCAGCCAGACGGAGGAGCAAATGCTCTTAACATCAACAGGTTTGAACAATCAGCTATTCTTCGAATGTTATCTGTGGATGATTGGAAGATGACTGCACTTTTAGTTTACATATCATATCAGAAATAACATTTTATTTTACTATTCTATAATTGTTTGTGGGATCCATGGCAATGCAAGCAATGTCATCCAGATAGACCAATAGCAAATTTATGATGATGTCTACACATAATATGCTCCAGATGGACTTGTGCTATTATGTTAGGGGTGCTCACAAAATAATGCTAAAATTTCAAAATCATCTTTTGGTTTCTTAGTTTCAATTTCATAGTAATGAATATAATTGGCCTCTTCAATCTTGGAATTCTCAATATGTTATACACATACATACAGAATGAAAGCTGCATCATTTGGGTAATCTGCGATCTAAATGATTGTATGATCTTTGCAGTTTGAGGCTACTGCTTCACAAGTCTGGAGCTGAGTCATCAGAAGGGACTTCATCATCCTTATCGAATTTTGATGACTTGGATGCTTCTAAATATGTTGTTCGGAAGGTGGTTCAAGAATGCATGGAAAAGATAAAGGAGGAGCCAAGTGTTTCAAAAAGGTCTATTCGATGGGAACTTGGTTCCTGTTGGATGCAGCATTTGCAAAAACAGGAAACTTCAACAGATAACAGTTCCAAAAACAAAGAAGATGGCAATGACGCTGAGCAAGCTGTTAAAGGTCTTGGAAAGCAATTTAAACTTTTGAAAAGGAGGGAAAAGAAACCAAGTAATGTAGTAGATGTTGCTGATTCTGGGGAGCAAAAGGACTCTACACCTGGCAACGTAAATGTGGGAACTGATACAGTTGAGCCAAACAACGACAACTTAATTAGCTCTAATGAATTGGAGAAACTACTTTCTGAAGATGATTTTTTGCGTCTCAGAGAATCTGGAACTGGTCTTCATATGAAGGTTTGTGCAACATTTTGAAGATTGTAATACTTCATGTTGGTATATTCCCGTGTTGCTACCTGTTTTACTTTTTATTTTATTTTAATTATCTAGTACTTCGTTACATCCCTTTTGCTTATCTGCATTTTCCAATTTTTTAAATTTTTTTAGTTTACCTATTCCATATTTTAGCTTTTGTTTAGTTCCTATATTTATGATGTTGTACCTTTCATATTTTTGGTACCTACCATTTAAATTATTTTCTTCTTGCCACAGTCAGTGGATGAGCTTATCAACATGGCACACCAGTTTTATGATGAAATTGCCTTGCCGAAGCTGGTAAAATTACATTCTTCATTTCTTTGAATAACTTGAAAATTGTAGACATGGATTAAGAACTGAATGTATTACTTTTTTAGGCTACAGACTTTGGATCACTTGAACTTTCTCCAGTGGATGGTCGTACAATGACTGACTTTATGCATTTAAGAGGATTAAAGATGCGATCTTTGGGTGAAGTGGTGAGAATACTTTTCTTTAATCTCCTTGCTTGTTCTAGAAACATCTTTGCAAACTGAGGATGACCCTTCTGGGTCTAGTAATGTTCTTGCTATTTCTAAAGCCTCTCTTTGAATGAATGTTTGGAAGCTACTATTGTAGTCTAAATACTGTGTCCAGTTAAACTAGTTTTGGTAATATAATTTGCTTTTGTTGTTTCTAATTTCTTGTATGAATCAGGTTAAACTTGCAGAGAATCTTCCACACATACAATCCCTTTGTATTCATGAGATGATTACTCGAGCTTTTAAGCATCTTCTTAAAGCAGTCATTGCCTCTGTTGACAACATGGCAGACTTATCTTCAGTAATTGCATCAACGCTGAATTTCTTACTTGGAGGTGGTGGAACTGAAGATAATGATCAAACTTTGGGTGATGACCATCATCTCAGAATTCAGTGGTTACGTATATTTTTGTCCAAAAGATTTGAATGGACTTTAAATGATGAATTTCTACATTTGAGGAAGTTATCAATTCTAAGAGGTCTCTGTCACAAGGTATCAGCAATTTGATTTCTTATGCAATTCTTTTTACATGAAGCTTTTTATTAATAGCTTATGTCATTGTTTTCTCAGATTGGATTAGAATTATTACCAAGAGATTATGATATGGAGTCTCCTAAGCCCTTTAGGAAATATGATATTATCAGCTTGGTTCCTGTTTGCAAGGTGGGTTTTTTTTATTTATCATTCCTCAGGGCCATTCAATGTATGATTCAACATCTATCTTCTCATTGAACTATTTATCAGTAAGATCGTATTTTGTTTAATAGCATGTAGGGTGCTCCTCAGTAGATGGACGCAATTTATTGGAATCATCCAAAATTGCTCTTGATAAAGGAAAGCTTGAGGATGCTGTAAATTATGGAACTAAGGTATCAATAACTGTCTTCTGTCTATTTGAAGCGTCATTCAATGTTTATTATGAATATGGCGCAGTATTTGAACTTAATATCATATTGCAGGCATTAGCAAAGATGATGGCTGTTTGTGGTCCATATCATCGAGCTACTGCAAGTGCGTATAGTCTTCTAGCCGTGGTTCTCTACCACACTGGAGATTTTAACCAGGTAAAGAATATAAGATTTGTGTCTCAGCTATTGTAGAAATCTGATATATTTATAAATAATTTTTTCTGATAACTAGTTTAAGACTAGCCATTATAAAATTTTGTTATTTTTTCTAAGCTCATAGGGGAAAAAGAAGAAAGAATTAAGGGAAAAACATATTATAGACTTGCTGAACCTACATATGATAATGAATCAATGGTTTTATACATGGTCTGGAGGAATCTAATAATTCAAATGTGCTAACATTACATGACTGTGTGGGTGAGTGTGGCATCTTTATGTAGTGGATGGTAGAATGTCTGGTATCTATATTTATTTTTTATTATACTTTCTTTATTTAGGCCACCATTTATCAGCAAAAGGCCTTGGATATAAATGAGAGGGAGCTTGGGCTTGACCATCCTGACACAATGAAAAGTTATGGAGATCTTTCTGTTTTTTATTATCGTCTGCAACACATTGAGCTGGCTCTGAAGTAAGTTAAACTTTGTTGAATTGGTTTAGTTGCCTATGCCATTACTTTCTGTTGATTATTCTGAAATTTACTATTTTCTTATAAATTCCATATTATCAAATACCTTAATCCCATCATCATGTAAACTTCCTGATTATTTCAATTGTTTAAGTTACCCTGACATAATTGCAGTTCACTACTTGCCAATGTCTTTCCCTTCTCATTGAACTTAATGTATCTTCTGACAGGTATGTCAATCGTGCTCTATTCCTTCTTCATTTTACTTGTGGGCTGTCTCATCCAAACACAGCTGCAACATATATAAATGTGGCTATGATGGAAGAGGGCATGGGAAACGTTCATGTGGCGCTCAGGTACTTGCATGAGGCTCTTAAATGCAACAAAAGATTGTTAGGAGCAGATCATATACAGGTTTCTCTCTCTCTCTCTCTCTCTCTTTCTCCTCACCCCCTTCCCCTCCCACGGATGGATCAGTGTTTTACAGTGTTTTTCATGTTGTAGACTGCTGCAAGCTATCATGCCATAGCTATAGCTCTGTCATTGATGGAAGCATACTCTCTAAGTGTGCAACATGAGCAAACTACACTTAAGATACTTCAAGCAAAGCTTGGACCAGAAGATCTTCGTACACAGGTCATTGTCTTTCTTATGTTATTACTAGTATATGTCAAGAAGCTATGGATTGATACCTGTCTAGTGTCTAGTATATGTCAAGAAGCTATGGATTGATACCTGTCTCGGATTGAACTAAGGATTGCCACAATATGGGGTTTGATAGTATTGGCTAGTGCTACCATTTTTTAAAAAAGAGTTTTTTTCCCAATGCAGGATGCTGCCGCATGGCTTGAATATTTTGAATCAAAAGCCATAGAGCAGCAAGAAGCAGCTAAAAATGGAACTCCAAAGCCAGATGCATCCATTGCAAGCAAAGGTCATCTTAGGTACTGACATGGTGTCCCCATATTACTGTGCTTCAAGTAGGTTATATTTCAAGGTACAAAAATATTTGACCTTTTCATGCAGTGTGTCAGATCTCCTGGATTTTATAAGTCCTGACAACGATTCAAAAGGAAATGATGCTCAGAGGAAACAACGGCGTGCAAAGGTGAGCAAATATTTTTTGTAGATTTTATTTATTGTAAAAATAATTGCATAGGTTTTCCTTTGGAGTTAGCTTTGAACGGCATTCAACCTTTTACATTATTTTGGAGTTAGCTTATAGTTCTAGGTGAAGTACTATGAGTGTTTGATAAGTTTCAAACTGGAAGGAATTCTGAAAACTTTTTATACCATTTTACCTTATTTTTTTGTATTTGACATTTGGCTTGTATATGTGATTTTTCAGATACTCTCAATAAGTGATGAAAATCGTCAAGAACATGATGATACAATAGCTGATGAGGGCATTCTTTTTGATAACTCAAATGATGCTACAACTATGGTAGAAGGCAATATAGAAGAAACAAATGAAACACTTGATACTGAAGAACTCAAAAAAAATGGTGACTTCACCAGGCACAAGCCAGTGACCAGTGAACCTGTTGATGAGGCATCATTTGATGAAGGTTGGCAAGAAGCCAATTCAAAAGGGCGGTCAGGAAACGCTGCTAACCGCAAGTTTGGACGCAGACAACGACCGCTTGTATCAAAGCTCAGCATTAACGGTTCTGATAACTACATTTACAGGGAAGGCAGTTTTAGGAACGACATTACTTCACCGCCAAAAAAAGGAGCTCCAAAAGTCATTTCAGACATGTTATCTCCGTCTAAACAATCAAAAACTCGAAACTTAATGTTGAACGAGGATTCTGTTAATCATCCAACAAAAGCTTTAATGTCCAAAGTTTCATCTTCTCCAGCATCTCTAAGTTCTTTGGCTTCAAAGTCTATATCATACAAAGAAGTGGCTCTAGCACCACCAGGTACGGTTTTAAAGCCATCGTTGGAAAAAGTTGAGATGGACAGTGCAAATGCTGAAAACGAAGCATGCAGCAGTCTTCCTGTGATATCAATAAATGAAGGTACGGGCAAAAGTTCCACAGTTAATACAGTTTCCGAGCATGATGAAAGAGAGGGAACTGGTGAAATTGAACCTCAACAAGAAAATTCTGTATCAGAACCTGAGAAGGTTTCACTTGCTTCTGATCAGGAAAAAGCTACAGAAACAAATGGTAGTAAGCTTTCAGCTGCGGCCAAACCGTTCAATCCAGGAACATTGTCCATGTCTCACCATTTAAATTCAGTTTCCATCACAAGCATATATGATGCAAATGTTAGTCAAGCCATGCATGTGGAGCCTGTGCTTCCCCCTGCTGCTGCTAGGGTCCCTTGTGGACCTAGATCACCTATTTATTACAGAAACAACTATACTTTTCGCATGAAACATGGTTTTAAGAAATCACCTATGAGGGATGGAAGTGGATTTGGAGCTCCAAGAATCATGAATCCACATGCACCTGAGTTTGTTCCCAGAAGTGCTTCCAGTGATGCCAATTCAAATGTTTCTAGTGAGCATAACTCTTTGTCTGAAGTTGGCATGGCAGAAAAAAATAAGCTAGGTGAAAATTTTGTTGAAGCCAAGGATAGTTCCTCAAAATCCAGCATTTCTGAATCTGAGAAATCAGAGATAGCAAGACAGATATTGCTTGGTTTTCTTGTTAAATCTGTTCAGCAAAATATTGACTCTGCAGATGAATCTAAAGTTAGAGAAGGAAAGATTGAGAACTTGGAAAATTCTTCTGATGAAATAGTCAAAGACAGTGCTGTCATAAAAATCATTTATGGGAATGAAGAAAAGAATATGACAGCTCCTCATTCCTGTGATAGTGAAGAGCAAGAGAAATTAGATGTAACTGGAAAAAAGGATGGAGATGGTGAAGGATTTACAGTTGTTACAAAGAGGAGAAAAAGCAGGCAGAAGATCACAAATGGAGTCACAGACTTGTACAACCAGCAGTCCATTTGTGCTTCAGCTCATTGAGTATAGTTACGAAATGAATCACCAATGCTCCAATATTGTCTATCCCGTCTTGAGTATTTGTTTGGCCAAAGCTCTTGACATCATTTTGTTAACAGTATATAACCCCGTGGCATGGAATTTCGGTCATTAAATTCATTTTGTTTTTGTTTATATGAGAAGTCCATTTTGGTGTTTGTTTATTCTCCACATAGTATGTTGTTTATTGTCTATATAGCAATTTTTGTTTTAATGCTTAGAGATCTTGTTTTATCAGTAAAAAGCTGATTGACAAGTTCATGTTAGTATTATTATTGTTGTTTTTTTCTGTGGCGTTGATGGTTTTGCAGCTGGGGTTGAACAGTAGCTGCTTGCATTTCCTTCTTGCTAGTTAAACATAATAGCTTTGTCTTTTTTTATTATTATTTGGGCTTTTTTAAGGAGACAAAGCCTAGCCCGTGTCTTGCTGGGCTTGGTAATCCATGAACCATCCCACATGGTTTTGTGCCATGAGAGTGAGCCAAATCATAACCAATTTAATTTTTATAGAGATGGAGGACTCTTTACCTTAGTGAACCTCTATAACTATTAGTAGTTAAACATAAATTTCAATAGGTTAGATTATATTTACAACTTTTTTTATTTACAACTCTTACGATTTCAATTATGTACTCCGGGGAGTACACTCTCAAGTATATTATATATACTCTTCAAAGTACATAGTTGAGGTTATAAGAGTTGTAAACAAAAAAAGTTGTAAACATAACCCTTTCCAATTTCAATTGGCTAAATAAATTTCGAGGTTATGAACATTATTTTGACCTAAGTTTGAGTATAACTCAAGAAGTGGTGGCAACACCTTGCTATTAGTCTTATTTCTCAAGTTTACAATCCAAGACCAAATCCTGGGGTATGTTGAACATAATCTGCAAATATGGCAGATACAGACTATAAATCAACCTGAGTTTTGTGAACTAGCTCAAGGGTATCAGGTCCCTTAATAAACTCCAGTGCCCTAGGGTTCCTTGTGGGTAGTAGTAGTAAACCATGCACTGCACCAATTCCAAATTAAAAATCAACAACACTTAACCCCGTTTTGAAGATTATGATATTTAACCAAATCGGTCATGTCATGTATATTATTTGCCCTCAAAAGTGGAAGGGAAGGAGAGAGTGTTGAAATTCTTATAGAATTCAAATGTTATGAATAAGAAATTGGGTGTGAAGAGATGTGTCCTTTAACTATTGAATAGACGTAATTATTCACGGGTGAACAGACATGACTTTTCATGCCGAACATGCACGACTCTTTACCGCCAATAGGCATCACTCTTCGTGACCAGTCATAGTTTATAAATATTGAAGGAAATTAGAAAAAAACTAGAGAGATTTCTGATTTCTCTCTTATATGGAAACTTAGTAAAAAAATGTTTTGAAATTTTTTGTTTTTATTCTGTGTGATTGATTAGCTTTCGTTGTGTGCACTAGTGTTGTTTCTTCTGATTGTGCCACAATCGAAACAAAGGCAACTCATTCTATCCTGAGAGACATTTGTCCACGAATCTTAAGTACCATTGATAGAGCAAAATTGCCTTAAGGACACAATATTCAATACTGGGTTTGGGTTTGATTTTCTGCAATTTTCAAGTTTTACATATTGCATTTTAATTTTTTATGATTGCATGCAATTTTATGTTTTCACTAATATTTTGCTCAGATTTTTTGCAACACAGATTTTTTGCACCATCACCAATAACAGAGAGAATAATGCAATACTATTGATTTCGGTTGCTCTTTCTGGATTAGACAGGAGTTGAATACCACATTAGGGCGTAATTCCACTTTAATTATGAAGATATTTAAACAATTTGCCAAATAAAGTTGAGGCACGTCACATCTGAGTGCGTTATAACCACTGCATAGTTGAATAGCTTGAAGGTGAAAACACACAGCAATCATTATGATTATCATGGTTCATCATATCGGTTTGTGACTTTTGGATGGTGGGTTCTCCAAATATTGTTTGTCAAAATAAAGAGGATCAAAAAGGACCAAAGTTATTGGAGTCATTTAACTTCTTAATATTTTATACTTTATATTAGATGTTATGCACTTTTATTTGTTGGCTTCTGGGAGATGCGCTTATTTAATTGTTCAGTCACTAACAAAGCCACAAAATTCGCAGAAAATTATTAATGTGTACAACATTTAAACAGAATCTGGGTGGAATATGATTTTGTTATCATCATTTAATAAACGTATGTAGTGTCCAATTAATGACATGAAAACCTAGAAGTTGCAATAAAAAATGTTATAGATCCTATGCTTTGTGGTTCAATAAATATCTTGGAATTAATCATCTTCTTAAAATGAAATTCCAACCCCAGATTGTGTAATTTGGGAACCACGAAATATTACATCCTAATTTTAATCAGATGAAATGCACGACTAAAAATAAAAATTCATACTTCCAATTATGATGAAATTACAACTTCGTAATTGAAGTACATGAGAAGATCAACTTGTCATATAAGGTAAATAATAGGAATAGGGTTGTATGCATGCATCTATGAGACTGTTTTACTGATTTGATTACTTGTAGGACCCTAAATTATGAAATGTTACCCAAACAATCAGAGGAAGAATACGGTTCAAGGATTGTTTTCTGTGTTAAGAGTTTGATAATATATCACAATCCCAAGTGAAGAGAAAAGTTGATTTGTCTAATGTTAATCTCATTATCTGTTTAACGCATCCAAAAGGTGTTAGCATAACAAAAGATCATAACTTATGCATTACTTTTCTAGCCAAATGGATAAAAGCATGTGACCTAAAATTTTGGGCAAGCAAATATGTCACTTTCAAATGAAAATCTGTGCATGTAGTTTCCTCTTTCCTATTTAATTTTTCTAATAGAATACGAGTTCAACAGTGCCATCATCTTACATAAGAGCTTTGCACGTCTACCTTCTATGAATGTTATTATTATGGGTTATATTACTCTCATGTTGCATAAGATAATATAACTTCTTACACACTCATCGATTTCTGTGTTTCTCTTTTTTCTTTTTTCCTTTTTTAATAAACAATGGGACCCACTACATGATTGTATCTACAACATGAGATAATATATCTCCTATTACATAAGAGTAATAAAACCCATATTATTATTATTAGAAAAAAATATTTGTCATTTCAAATAACGTAACTTTACGTCATTTAAAATTAAATGACGTGGTACATATTTGAAGATTTTTTACATTCTCTCTTCCATAAAATTAGGGAGAGAGAAAGTAAAAAAATCTCTAAATATGTACCAAAACAGCATCGTTTTATCTAAAATGATACAAAGTTATGTCCTTTAAAATATTTAATGTTTTTTTTCCTTATTATTGATTATAAAATTATATTTTTGTCAGGTTTTTTACAAAACTTTAAAAGCAAAAAAAAATGGAAATAATGTGACATTTTTATAATGATTAGTGAAAATACTAAATATGTACCAAAATAGCATCATTTTATTTAAAATGACACAAAGTTATGTCCTTTAAAATAACAAATATTTTTTTCATTATTATTAATTATAAAATTCTATTTTTGTCAGGTTTTTTACAAAACTTTAAAAGCAAAAAAAAATGGAAATAATGTGACATTTTTATAATGATTAGTGAAAATACTAAATATGTACCAAAATAGCATCATTTTATTTAAAATGACACAAAGTTATGTCCTTTAAAATAACAAATATTTTTTTCATTATTATTAATTATAAAATTCTATTTTTGTCAGGTTTTTTTACAAAACTTTAAAAGCAAAAAAAAATGGAAATAATGTGACATTTTTATAATGATTAGTGAAAATACTAAAAATTTAAAATGAACTAAACATCACATATGAAAATGTAAATAGAATACATATCGAAATATTTGAACCAGCACAGTTCAGAGTATTGCATATTTTCAATAGTTATGCATCGTATTTAATGTAGTGCGTGGGAGAGCCAATTTATTAATATGAGTATTTAATTCTTCTTTCAAATTTTGTATTGTGCGTTCTCTCGTCAATCAAACCCTTTAAATTTCAAAGCCTGCTAGGCGCCGTAAATAATAACCTCTTCGTCTTCAATTTATTGCATTGTACAGTGCAGCAAAATTTAAAATTTGATTTACACGACATAGAGAGAAAAAGTGTATTCAATGTCTACCTTTTGCCTATACGCAAAATTTTTAGGTCAAAATGACTTAATTATTTCTCTTCATCGTATGAGTAATTCATTAATTTTTATCCAAAAATAACTTTTCAGCCAAAAGCTTTTTAACCAACATAATATTGACATTTTCAAAAATATTAATTAAATTACTATCTTAATAGAGTAAATTAATTGGTTTCACACTACTATCTTTTGTATTCGGATAAGTCTCTTTGGAAGTGAATAGTAACTTATTGAAGTAATTAACCATAGGTCCATAACTGACATGCCTACAGCAAGAGATAGTGTGAACACATAGGAATTAAGAGCAACCATTTTTCTTTGTATTTTTATAAAAGAGACCAAATTGGTGGTGGAATGATTGTGAAATTGATATTGGTAATGATTGTGTTGTCTAACTAAACAAAAGACCTTATACCTTGATCCTATAGAATTAGTTGAGGCATATTATATGTGACTTGGATCTAATACCAAGGGCGTGTGGATGTGTTTTTTTGAAAAAAAAAAAAATTAATGAGTTTTTTTTTTTTTTTAAAATAATAATAATTATTTTGTATTTAGATGCAATATTTGAAAAGTGCTTTTGAGTAAAAATATCATTTGAATATTAAAATAAAAAAAATAAAAAAATATCATTTGAATATTAAAATAAAAAAAATTAAATGTAAAATTACTGTTGTGCCCTCTCCTCCTTGTACATTTTGTTTCTGTTGTGTGTTGTGAAGCAAAAGAAATTATTCCAACACAATGAAGAAAGCGAGATGCAATATTCCTAAAGGTAATTTATTCTGTGATCTTTTTCCCTCTCTTACTCTCTTTTCAATTATTTTCCGTTATCAACACAATTTTCCTTCTAGATTGTAATATGCTTGTTCCATTTTACGATTATTTGTTGAGAATTTTATATTTTGTGCCTGATTTTGAAATTTGTTGTTGTTATGATTTTTTTTTTGAGAATTTTGTGTTTGATGTCTGATTTTGTATTTCTGTTTCGGGGTCCATTGCATGAGGCACTTCGTGTTAGAAGTGATCTGAGCTTGAAGACGAAAACGAAGATGGAAACAAAGGAAAATGAAGAACGAAAGATGTCTGAGGAACTAAGGAGTAAACGAAGGTCATTCATCTTCTTTTGGCTTCTCCTTCTCCTAAAAGGCAAAAAGTATAACTTTTGAGAAAAGTCAGATTTTAGCTTTTTTGTTGACTTTTGCTTTTTTTAAAAGCAATCATCCAAACAATCAAAAAATTCTAAAAATACTTTTAAAAATAAAAATAGCTTTTGTAAAAGTAGAAGCTCATCCAAACACCCTTCAAACAGTGTAAAGAACCAATTCAACCTAAAAGTTTAAGCTATTGGGTGAGGCTACATTAATTATTTTATGTATTTTCAACGTACCCCTCACACAAAAGCTCATTGGGCTTAAAGGATGGACAATGCACAAGTCCACCTACTTGTGCTAAGAAACTCCACAAAAATGATTAATTATTAATTAAAGGAGTGAGGTGGTGATGATCAAAACCGTGACACCAAGACTCTGTTACCATGTAAAGAACTAATTCAATATTGAGTGAGGTTACATTAATGGTTTTAGAATATTTTACATTAAAATTCATTTTTTAATTATGTTAAATTTTATTCTTTCTCTTCCAAATCTCAACTGTCCCATTAGTACATGCAAGGTAGTCAAAATCGAGATTTTATCTAAAATCGAAAAGGGAATAAAAAATCGTAAATTGTAAAATCGTATTACAAATCGTAGATTTTACCTGCACTCTAAAATTAAATTTTTATATACATATGCTTATGTATAAAAAAAATTAAGAAAAAATAGTAGGGGTGTTCATCAACCGATCCAAACCGATTCAAACCGCGGTAACCGAACCAAAAAATCGATAACCGAAAAAACCGAAAATCGAAAAACCGAAAACCGAAAAAAAATCACAAATTTTAATTGGATTGGATCAGTTTTTGGATGGATTGATGAAAACCGATTCAATATATTAATTCTCCTCTACCTATTTGAGTCTTTCCCTAATCCCCTCTACCTATTTGGGTCTTTCGCTAAACATAACCTAAAAAATTCTAAACCCAAGACCCATTAACCCATCAATTAAACCCAAGAAAAAATCTAGTCATATCTTATCAACACAATTTTATCTTTATAACTTTATATCTCATTGCCAAAAAAAAAATTATATTATAGTTTACTAATGCTTTTGTATTTAAAAAATAAAAATAAAATTACAAAGCCAATATATACAAAAGAAGTTATTTGCACAACAATCATGAAATAAATATTAGGATTTTCAAAAAACCGAAAACCGATCCAATCCAAACCGAAAAAAATTGGATTGGATTGGATAGGATTTGAAAAAAAATTCAAACCGAATGAATGATTATATGATCAAACCGAAGGGATTGGATCGGATGAATTTTGCTTCCAAAATCGATCCAATCCAGACCGCGAACACCCATAAAAATAGATTACCTGTCACCATCCTTATACATTTGCATACAATTGTCACACTCTAAAGGTCTAAGCTAATAAATCATTCAAGTTATTATCATCGAAGACATTATGTTCCACGTGATCTTCAACTATATCATTCAAAATTGTCTTCATCTAAACTTCCATCATGAGATAAAGTTCTTTCGTTTTCCACAATCCATTCATCTTCGGATGAAACGTTAGCAATGTTATATTCAACAATTTTTTTAACTTGCTTAACATCATTCCAATAGTTAAAATCGGGATTTAAATCTTAAAATCAGGACTTAAGTAAATGTCTAAATCGGGATTTTATATTGGAAAAGATTTTAAGTGAAATCTGAATCGTTTTAGCAAAAATAAATCGTTAAAATCGGGATTTTAAGATTTAAATCTCAATTTTAATTACCATGAGTACATGTATTAAATTACATTACATTATCTTAATTTTATTTAATTTTAATTTTTTTTAAAGGATGACACAAATAATTATTAATTTTTCTTATTTTAAATTTTAAATTGAAACTTTTTTAAAAAATATTATGTATAGTTTCTTATAATTCTTTTACTTTAATTTATATTTTTTATATTATACTTGAATTAATTACATATATTTCTCATGATTTAAAATATTTTTTATTTTTATTTCGAGTAATGCACAGTTGAGAATAATAATTCCATTTGATGTCAGTGTTTCGAATTTTGATTGATGAAAGTCTCTTTCGTAAAAAAAATAAAAAATAAAAAAGACAAATTAACAACACCAGGAGACAGATTGAACCTTGTTGGAACAAGCTTACAACATTATAAAAGAAAAAAGAATGGAAATGAAAGAGCGAAACGTGAATCATCTAGCAAGTTTGGCCAGCCACTTAAATAATGTTACGAGATTCAAAATGCATTATGGCATTCTGAATGTTTTTAATCAAGTTTGATTTATAAACAACGATAGACAATTCAACGAAAAGATAATTGTTTTGAACATCTACCATATTTTAAAGATTATTATTGTAATAACACTTATGGAAATATCTTGATGGAAAGACTAAAAGTTACATATTAATTCATTTACATAACAGCTAATATTTTCTTTAAAGAAATTATTAAATTGTTTTAATTATTATTTTATTATAAACCTCTTCAATCGGATTTAATTTTAAGAATTATAAATCATTTACTAATACATTATCCATTCTAATCATCTAAAAAATTATTTGAACTTCCAAGTTCTATTAATTTATATGAAAAGATATATTACCAGCAAATAAAATGTTACTTCCTAACCATAATATTTTAAACTAAATATTTTTGCAGCAGATAAAAAATAGCTAAGCGGGTGTTTGGTAGAGGAAAAAAAAAAATTTATCTGGGGAATCACAATTTCCAAAAATATGATAAGAAAATGAGTTTTCTGATAATGTTACAAAAAGTTGTTTGATAAACTAAAATATTTCCAAAAATGTTGGATTAATTTTCTTAATGTTATGTTTAGTTGTATTAAACTTTTCTTTGACATAAAAATCATAAAATACCACCCTGGATAGTATTCTTGGATGGTATTTTCAAAAAAAATTACACACAGAATAAAATCATGAGAAAATCAGATTTCCGAAAAAAATTTAAAAATCTTATATCAAATGTAGATAAATAAAATTACTAGTTTTAGTTTTCCGGGAATCCCAAAAAATCCTTGTAACAAACAGCCCCTAAATTTCTTTTATAGGTTTGAAATAAAAAAAAATGTATACCATACCAAAAAAAAATGTATACATTTAGCAGTGTATTTGGGTTCAAGTATTAATTGCTTCTTAAAACTGCACTCTCGAATTCTTAGCTTGCCATTTACGTTAATAAAATAAATAAACCGCAAACCCCAAATTAAAGGCTCCAAAGAAATATCATTATCCATCCACCAAAGCAAGTTTCTTAACGTGGAAAAAAACACAATAGTGTCACTACGGTTACACATACACAGAGTCTATTAAAGGAAATAAATTTAACCAATCAAACTAACAATTAATTAGTTCATTAACAGTAATAGTAAAAGAACAAAAAAAAAAAAACAAATCCAAGAAAATAATATTAATAGTAATAACACTTGAATACTAAAAAAAAAATAAGACATGATTAGGATTAAGAAGAAGTGGTGTTTTTGTGAGTGGGAGAATGCAAAGGAAAAAGTGGCAATAGCTCAGGTGGTTGAGAAGCTCTTGGTGTTGAAAGTGGACTTGGATGCAAGTAGAACCCTTTCTCTGCAATTGCTCTTTCTTCTTCTTCTTCGTGTGGTGAAATCGGTGTTCGTGGGCTTCCACGCGCCAACACTTCCAATGGTGACACTGGTGAAGCCATCAACATGGTTTCGCCCATCAATGCTCTGCTTCTAACGTACGAACAAGGTGACATGTTCATGTTCGTGTTTATGTTGTTGTTGTTGCTGTTGAACATCATCATCATGGGTCTCTCCGAAACGCCGATGCTTAGTTCTAGCTTCTTCGCCGCCGCGTTCCGCCGCTCGTGGAGTTTGAAGTTTGGTTTCTTCGGTCCTATTACCTCCGCTGCGGCGGCGGTGGTGGCGGCGGTAAGGCGGTGGTTTTGGGCTGCAAGACGTGACGGGAGAGTGAGGGGGAGTTTTTGAGCTGATGGGTCTTCGGATGCTCCGGTTAGCTTCTGGACCACCGCCCGGAAGTTTGATGGGTCGGCTTGGACGAAGGTTGTGTTTGGTGTTGTCGGGTCGGATCCGTAGGGCGGTGAGTGGAGGGTGGTGGCGCCGGAGTTTGAAGCCATAAGAGAGAGAGAGAGAGAGAGAGAGAGAGTTCTCAGAGCTTGTAGATTATTGAAGAGGAAGCGGGAAGAATGGAATGAAATGTGGGGTTTTATACACCAACAAGAGAGAGAGAGAGAGAGAGAGAGAGAAATTTCTTGGAGATGTGGTTGCTTTGCTTTATGGGTTGGCGTGTGTGGTAAGTGTCAGATAAGAAAATTAAAAAGACTCTTATGTCAGAAGGAGGAACTAATAGTTAGGATGTTACCTATTTTAAGATTTTTTTGTTGTTGTTGTGTGATAAGATATTGAAAAGTGAACTTGATATAAAGATTTTAAGCCATCAAATTAGAACCGTAGGAAGTGCTGCTCTTTTCAAACTGAACCTCATCCAATTCATATACTTGATAGTTTTTATAAATAAATTAAACATGTAATTACTACTTACTTCCCACACTCTCTTTTTTGTTTTTGACTTTGTAAGTTGTAAGTAATTACGATTAACTACTGCTGTTTCTAATGAAAAAGGGTAGACGAAAGCTTTGGTTAGATGATTAAAAAGAGCTTTTCTCTCCCAGCTTTTTTTTTAAAAATGGGTGAACTTTCTCATGAGTGGAACTCCATATCTTTCTTTTATCATTGTAAGTAAAAATTCATTATCATGAGGTTAAGCTTTTTAATGTGAGTGTTATTGAAGTTTGCCTCAAAAGTCGCATGAAAGCTTTTGTAATGGAAATTTTGTTATAAACTAATTCACAAAGAGAGGAAGAAATCCGGATTGAAATCATGATGTAATCTCTCACAGTGAAGCACATGCAGGCAACTAAACAGTGGTGGCCACGTCTTTATGGTTTTCGTTTCATAATTTTATCAGCATGCATGATTACTACATATACACACAAAAGTCTTGATGGAAAGTGTTCACTAATGCAAATTATGCAATAATAACAAAGGGCAATGGATTTTACTCTCTTTTTTTCACTTGATGTGTAATGAATGAGGAGTGAAACTAGTGAATATCAACGGGGTCCCGTTTGAATTTGAAAAAAGCAATCAATGAATAATAAGCTGGCATATTGAATGACGAGTCATGCGGGGTCAGCGGAGCATTGAAACAAGGTACAACAAGGTGAGAGAGAAAGAGAAAGAGAAAGACAGAGGCAGAGTCTGAGTTTTGGTCAGAGTTCTAGAAAACCTTATGTGCCTTGTGATTCTGTCTCTCTTTTTCTTTTCTTTTATTCTGTCCATTTTTTATTTTTTATTTTTATTTGTGTGCGTATCTAGTGGCCTGTGTGTGGGTAAATTTTTCAACTGCTTTCTCTTTCTGTGTATATTTTTTTTCCTTTCCTAAGTTTGCGTGAGGAATTGCACTTTGACACTAGTGACAAAAGTTGTCTCAGGCTTCCTTAAATTTTGGCTTGGTTCCTTGTAGTTTCTTTGCTTTACTCTTTTCTTTTTGGATTGCTTTGCTGGAATTGTCACCCTTTTTGACATGTTTAGTTTCTTGCCTTTACAGGAGTCTTTCCCCTCTCTTTCTTCTTGTTTTCAATTTAGTTTACCTTTTACATGAAAGTGTGAAACACAATACAAATTAGAAGCACTTCTATTTCTGGCGCCTTATTTCATTTACTTATATATACAGCTACACAAGAAGCATTCCGACCAGGGAATTTACTATGCAATAAGTTACAAGTTACAGGTTGATATTGAGGTACAAAAAACTATATGTACATTTTTTTAGTAATGTTATAGATACATTTAAAAATGTACACATTCGTCACGTATTTTTTATTATTCATCAACATCAATGGTTAAAAAAAATTACGTAGAAGAAGAATGCGTGTGTATTGTTTTTGGCTTAAAAACGGAACTACTTTTTTTGCTGTGATTTTTTCCCACTACTTGTTTCAGTAATAATAGTACTCTGTTACATGTTGTAATTCAAATTAATGGCTGTGTGTTTACTGTTAATTACTTCCTTAGTATTTAGAAGTATACATATGTGTATGTCTTATATTTTAACAAGTCTATTTTTTTCATAATTATTACACAGAATAAATGAATCTCATCCAGTATTTTGTAGTCAATTACTATACTTCTTCCTTACACATAGTATATAGAAAAAAGAGATTCAACATGGGTGAGTTTGGATCGATAATTAGTAGAATAATTAATTTTAACTAATTAATTTTTAAAGATTTGACCAAACTTAGTCCCTTACTGTTATGATTTGGGCTTCAAAGTCCTTGCATGTAAAATGTGAAGTAACAACACTCAAGGACTCACAGCCATTATACCAGTGAACACTTGAGAGTATGAATCGTGCAATGTATTTTTCTTACAAAATAGTAAGTGGATGTTTGGTCCCAACGTTTGTGTTGTACGTTGTAGCTGTGTAAATGCTTGTGATTGAACTCATGATCTTCTCTTTTTACTAATTAAATTACGGCCACTCATTAGAGAAAGTAATATGTATGGTTCCCACCACTTGGTTTTCCCATGACAGGGACAGTATGGCTATCCATTTAGATTGAAGTGATTTTTATTTCTTACAAATGCAATAGGGAAAACTGTCTGTACTTTTAAATTACACAACTTATATCCTTTCACTTTCACAAAGATGTGGGATCCACAACTTTATTTTTTTGTCAACTCTCTCTCCTCCTTTATCTATCTCTTTCTCTCTCTTAAAATTACACAACTTTACATCCTTCAAAATTATACACACTTTTCCCAATGCAATATACAAATAATGTCGTAAGCATGATAGATGAAAATAAAACTCATTTCCTGGGCCCCGTAGCTGTAAAAAACTAGATGATTAAATTATGATAGTTTAGTTACTGCGTGAAAGTTGAGTAACTGAGATTGAGAGCATGTGTACGATCTCTTCAATGCCGTTTTTGAAAGGGTTTAAAGTTTTAATCATGAACTCATCCCAAATAAGATTATCTACTACGAAGTATGGTATTCATCAACCGATCCAAACCGATTCAAACTGCCGTAACCGAACCGAAAAATCGATAACCGAATAAACCGAAAACTGAAAAATTGAAAACCGCAAATTTTAATTGGATTGGATCGGTTTTGGATGGGTTGATGAAAACCGATCCAATCCAAACTGATCCAATATATTAATTCCCTTCTACCTACTTGAGTCTTTCCCTAACATAGCCTAAAAATTTCTAAACCCAAGAAAAAATCTAGTCACATCTCATCAACAAAATTTTATCTTTGTAGAGCTTCATATCTTATTGCCAAAAAAAAACTATATTATAGTTTACTAATGCTTTTGTATTTCAAAATAAATAAATTTACAAAGGCAATATATACAAAAGATGTTATTTACACAATAATCATGAAATAAATTTTAGGATTTTCAAAAAACCGAAAACCGATCCAATCGAAACCGAAAAAAATTGGATTGGATCGGATCGGATTTGAAAAAAAATCAAAAACCGAATGAATGATTATATGATCAAACCGAACAGATTGGATCAGATGATTTTTGCTTCCAAAACCGATTCAATCCAGACCACGAACACCCCTACTACGAAGGATACATGTGGTTTTTCAAAAAAAAAAAAAAAAAAATGTACCAGCTTCATTATCAAGATATATTACTGTTAGCGATATAACTTCACATAACCCACCTTTTTTTATATACCACAATTCACAATTGCACCATCATGAGATAGAACACAAATTCTTATCCTCACCCTAGAATTTTTTTCATACAAACAGACACACGGTTTAATATTAGACTCTCTTTTTTTTGGAAATCTTAGACTTTAGACTTCGCTTTTTCATTCCAATAATTCATCTTCGGGACAGGATTAAGGTGCAAGAATATATGCTTCATATATTAAATTTAGTAACGCAATTGAGCAAACCAAACAAAGAATATGTGAGAATAAGCTGTCCAGTATTTGTCTGAAAACTGCATGTGAATCAACCTTCATATCAATAGCTATGCATATATAGAGAGAGGTTTAATTAAACACCGACCACGTGTACATTTCACAACCTTCAGATCATTTGATCTGATTGTTCGAATTTTCTTATCCATGGCCCACTATGAAAAACTGTTGCCATTGCTTAAATTAAGTGAGCTACGTATTTATTATTCATATTAAGAAATAATGGCCAAAGACATTGACAAAATTAATAGTAGCCTGCTTTGCTTTTTTGTAGTCAAAAGGGGCACTTATAGAAAACCATCGTTTTCAATTCTATTCCGAGTGTGAATGATGCCAAGGGAACATTCAATCATAAGAGCCGTCTGTGGATGACACTATGATTACCAAAGAAGACTAGGCAATAGGCAAAAGTGGAGTGGTGTGTTAACAAACTAAGAGACCCTTATTCGATTTAATACTTTAATTAAATTCTTGCCAAACATCCCACTTGATTGATTGAACTCTTAAAATGATTTTAGAATGAGAGCCGATATAAATAATTATAGCCAATTTGATGAATTAGTATTATATACTTGTTTTTCTATATATGCTTTTAGTTCATGGCTTTTTTCGTTGGGGACAAGCGTAGGGTGTTAGGACAAAGCAAAAAATCATGGATGTTTGGAATTTAGTGGACTTATAACGGATGAGAGATTGACATTTAAGGATAAGGAGACACAAAAGATGTATTTTTATATTTGAATTGGGTACGGCTAATAATTAAATTCTTGGTAGATGATTCAAAGCATCTTTCCAAAGTTTTTCAAGGTGAAGCCGTGAAGGATAACCTAAACCTATATAATCATATACTTCAGATCGCAAAAATGGGTAAAAAGAAGCGAAATATATAAGGTTAAACAAAAATTAGAGCTTTCGATATAAAATAACTTGATATGACAACCCAATTTGATAAGGTCTCATAATTTTTATTGGCTTGTAATTTATGTGTTTTTATAGCAGGATAGAGTTGTAACTTAGTTATTTGTAAATTAAATAAATATCGCTAGTTTTATTGTATGTAGAATTTGGTTGATATCTTCAGGGTACAATAGTAGGTCATTAATGGTGTTTTAAAAAAAAATTAAGAACTTTAACTCAAATGACACTAAACTTTTTTAGAAATTACTTGGTTTTAAGTTTAAATTAGATAAGACCGCTTTGCCTTACTTTAGCTTACTCTTTTCCAAATAAGGTCATTTTTATTTCATGATTATATTGTTTTAAATATAAAATATACTAATCCAAATAGATATTATATAATGGGTAAGGATTCGTTTACAAATTTTTGTAAATTACACTATGTACCCCCGAGAGAATATAGTGTAACCTAGTGTTTGTTCTCCTGGGAGAAAAAAGTGTAGTTTGTAAAAGTTTGTAAATAAAAAGTTTGTAAATACAATTCTTCCCTTATATAATAGACTTCTTTTGTAACTTACAGAAATGCAAAAGAGAAAAAAGAAAGCAGGTTAGGTGAAAGCCCAAATTAAAAGTGAGGTTAAGCCCAACTGAAAAAACATTAAAAAAATTGTAGTTTTCTTCAAACCCAAGTATAGTGTTTCTTTGCCGAAAGATGATTGATTACATAAGGCCCAAGACTTGTTGACTATATTATTTGATTTGACATTTTAGGCATGGACATTGGACGAGCTACTTAGTCATATCGGGTAAGGTTAAGGAAATGACTGTACCTGACTAAATATCACTTTTGTTATAGCATTGCACATGTACTTTTTTCCGAAGATATTATATTTTCTGCCTTTACTATGTCTTGTGATTTCTCTTAATATAACTTGGATATGAAATGAGCATAAATAAGTGCATCTTCCACTTGAACAGTGAGATTCTGACATACTAATCAAATTTATGTTGTTTTTTTTTTTGGAAATTCAATACTGATCAGTTTATATATATGCTTCAGTAACAAATACAGTTTGGTTGTTGTTACTAGGAGAAAATCAAGCCATAATGTCATAAGATCATGGATCATGCCTTCCCTCAAATTTCATATTTTTTCGACATTGATTTGAATCAGCTACCGCGTAAGGATTGTTTCTCAGATCCAATACATGCCTCCTGTTTTACCATGTTTAGTTGGAATAAATCTTTGGTACTACTGCTGTACCAAAGATTTAGTGGATCCCACCAATGAAAATATTACATGTTAGCTAAATTTTTTTTTTCTGTCAAATTTTTTCTCTCTCCTCTGATATGTAATGCTCTCATTGATGAGATGCACTGAATCTAAGTACAGCAATAGTATCAAAGATTTATTCGTCTAGTTGGTTCAACGCAGAAAACATTATTAGGAAGCTCCCGCTCATGTAATTCTCCCTCTCTCTTTTGTTTAATGCATTTTACTTCTCCAAATTACAAGGAAAAGAAGAAAGAAAATAGAAATAAAATGTCAAATATAAGTGATAATTAGCATATCATTCCCTTTATTATAGTTTCTAAGGCTAAAGACACAAAAAAAAAAGTGTACCCAGAAGTGGAGGAAATAAAAAAACAAAAGTAAGGAAGGGTAGTATGTGTCCTTTCCACTAGGGCTAACCTAGTGGTTGGGAGTAGTAGTTACTGAGTTTGATTTCCAATGTATACAAAAAAAAAAATATAACCTTACGTCTTTTTACTCCTTATAATTATGTACTTTGGGTATTACATAGTTATAATATGAAAGTTATTTTTTTTTCCTTCACATCAGCCAATAAGTTTTTGAAAAGAGAAAAAAAAATAACTTCAATATTATAATTATATATTCTCCGAAATACAGAGTTATAAGGGATGGATAAACTTATATCGAATAGTTTTCCCAAGTAAGGAATTGCGAAAAACAGCATCAAAGAGTGAGATCAGCCAAGTCAAAACTTCTCTCAACAGCTTTGCACCAAGAGTCCACTTTCTTTTTCCTCACTTCCTCGGTCATCATTGGACGGAAAACATTAGCACCCTTCATCTTCTCCGTGGAATCAAAAACATAATCTTCTTTCCAAATCCCAGCAGCTAATCCAGCAGCATAGGCTGCTCCAAGTGCTGTTGTCTCAATATCAGCAGGTCTAATTACCGGACTTGCCATCAAATCTGCCTGTACAACATTATTAACATAAACATTTTCAGTATCTAATAACATATATGATGTTAACACTAAAGAAGCATTACAAAACAATAAATCATATGATGTTACTGTTAGGACAAAACGAACATGATGATTAACAGAAAAATTAAAATATATCACAAGTATATGGAATTAGATGAAAGAAAGATATTCAAAGAAAAAATTGCAATTAGTCCAAACCTGAATCTGCATCAACAGGTTGTTAACAGTTGCCCCACCATCCACTCTAAGCAAAAACTCATCTTTTTTAGATTTATCTGCCCAATCTTTGTGCATTGAATCTAAGACATCTTTCACTTGAAAACACATGCTCTCAAGCACGGCTCTAGCAATGTGAGCCTTGCTCGTGAACCTTGTTATCCCAATAACAACCCCACGAGCATCATCGCGCCACCATGGGGCAAACAAGCCATTAAAAGCAGGAACAAAGTAAACTCCACCCGTGGATTCAACCTCTGCTGCCAGAGACTCTATATCTTTAGCACTAGAAATGATGCCAAGACTGTCTCTAAGCCACTGCACTGCCGCGCCAGCAATAGCAACTGATCCTTCCAGTGCATAATTGGTTGGAGCTTTTGGACCAAGTTTGTAGGCTATAGTGGATAGAAGACCATGCTTTGACTGAGTTACACCTTCACCAGTATTTAGTAGTATGAAAGCACCTGTGCCATAAGTGCTTTTAGCCTCCCCTTTACGGCATGCTTGTCCTAGCATTGCTGCATGTTGATCTCCTAAACATCCAGCAATAGGGATACCCGCTATAGGCCATCCAGAAGCAATTTTTCCTATAATTTCAGAATTACTGACGATTTTAGGCAAAATTTCAGAAGGAATTCCGAGGGTTTTTAAGGTAGATTCCTCCCATTCAAGGGATTTTAGGTTCATCAGCATTGTCCTTGATGCATTTGAAACATCAGTCACATGCAATCCTCCCTTCACCCCACCAGTTAAATTCCATATCAACCAAGTGTCTATTGTTCCAAATAGGGCATCCTTTTTCTTTATACCCTCCTTCACAGCGTCCACATTTTCCATCAACCAAAGCAGTTTCACAGCACTAAAATATGTACTAATAGGCAAACCACAACTCTGCACAAAATGGTTTTTACCTTCAGATAACTCCTTTTCCAATCTCCTGTTTCAAAACAATCCAATAACATCAATTAAATTTTCCGATGATGGCATAGAATAAAGACAACAAAGGAATGAAAAAGTGACCAACTTCAAACACGGAACATAACATTGGATAGGTACATAGAAATCAATCTATGATGAAATCAGACAGAGATAGACATGAAATTAACATTGGATAGGATTCATTCCTGAAATAATCTGAACATCTTACAAACAGATCCTTATCAATCAGAGGCAGAATTACCACCACTTAAAATTTTAAAATAGTTCATTTGAAATGAAATTATCCAAAATACTAATCCTGTAAAGGGTGGTAGTATATTAAAATTGATGAAATATTTACAGACAAAAATGATTAGTAAATGGATTTAAATAAATTTAAAAAAAGAAAGAAAAGGACACGAAGGAGGTCAGGACCTGCAAACAGAAGCAGTACGAGCATCCATCCAAACAATGGCAGGGTGAAGAGGAGCACCAGTGGATTTGCTCCAAACCAGACAGGTCTCCCTCTGATTGGTGAGACCAATGGCCTTCAATCCCTTATCCACGTTGAATCCATCAGCGGTAGCCTTGTCAACAGCCTTAGCAATACACACCTTCACACTCTCCAAGATCTCCATGGGATCATGTTCCACCCATCTACCATCACCACATCAACAAACAAACAAACCCATAAATTTTTTCTAAAAAAGAATGAAACTTTAAAGGGAAAACAAAGATTGGGGGGTAGCCATGGTTTACCCTGCTTGTGGACAGAACTGAGTGAACTCGACCTGGTGAGATCCGATAGCGCGAGCTAACTTGTCGTAGATTATGAACCTGGTGCTGGTCGTTCCTTGGTCAATTGCGCCAATGAAGACATCATCTTTCGACATGTTTTCTCTGTTCCTTGAGACCAAAACGATGTTGATGTTGTTGTGTTAGTGTTTGTGTTAGTGTTTGTTGTTCTTGATCAACAAAGAAGACCAACGCTATATATACATATCACAGTTTAATACCGAATGGCCAATGCCGTTTTCTTTGGAATTGTCGATGCTAACGATAATCCTTGCTTTTAGTCAAATGGACGATCATAAAAGTTTTATCCATATAATTTAGCAAATTGTTATATTCAACTTTTGACTAATGTTATTATTTTTATTTTTATTTTGAATACTTGACTAATGTTATATAAAAGATAAAGATAAAGTTTTTTTTTTTAGACGTCACTCTCATGTGGATATTTTTAAATTTAAGTAATATACATTAATTAAAAAATATTTGTAACAATAATTCAAAAGATTTGTTGATATGCTTTTGTAAATTTCTCTGTATAAAGTTGTGCAAACATTTGCATATTTTTAATGAAAAGATTCCCAACTTTGTCTCACACGCTTCTTCCACGTGGAGTGTTTTTAGGAGGTAATATGCATAAACTACCTGTTTATCCATGGACTTTAATTCATTACCTGTTTGTTTGTGTTTTTTTAAATTAAAATATGAGAAAAATATTTCTTCAGTTATTACAGATAAGTTATCTATATTTACTCGTAAAATAACGTTATTTTGAGATTAAAAAATTAAATAATTATAATTATAAAGATTATAATAATCCTGAAATAAATTAAAATTATAACAACACCATGATTTTTGCCCAAAACAATATCGTGTTAGGCTTACTGTAAATAATTTATCTGCATTAACTGCAGAAAAAGCAAACCCTTAAAATATATATGTAAAAAAAACTTTATTACAATTAGATAAATTTATTTAAATAAGGTAAAATGTAGAATAAAAAACAATTTTAATGTTAATCTCATAAGTTAAAGAGAATAATTTGAGAAGATTATGTGATAAAAAAAATTAAACTTATCTAACCCATTTAGATTTAGTGGGTATTTGGTTGTTTATTTGAGAGAGTTTTTCCTTAAAAAAAAACACACACACTTATTCACATAAAAGTTTAAAAAAACAACACCACACTTGAATAGTAGAAATTTTGTGTGAAAATTAGTGAGTGGCGGTGGATATCTTTGGAATAAGATTGAATAGTACTGAGTGAATTATTGAATGGCGTGACGGTTCCGTAGTTGTTGGTGGAATTCTTAAAACATAGCTTATCGATCGTTAAGATAGTTGAGACCCTTTAACCATTCACACCCACCCTTCCCGTTCTCACGGATCTTACGGACTATGCTCCTTTTTCTCTCTCTTACAAGCCTCTTTTACTTTTACTTGTATCTCGTGCAATCCATCAAATCTGCTTTGACTATTTTCTCCATTTAAGATCCGATTCTCACTCAGGGCATATTTTACAAATGTCTGATTCCAAACTAAGCTTGAAATTAGCAAGGTCATTCCCAAATTACTGATTTAACTTTGTCGTACTTGCATATCTTTGAATAATGGAGGTGCAACAGTCAAATTCAATCAATCTTTATTAATTTGGTTGCCATTAGATGGTATAGTGATAAGGGATTTTAGTAATTTGAATCTTTATAAATTTTTAATCTTTCTCATTTGGTTTGGTTACTTATTTATTTTTTGATTTGGTTCAGAAGATCAATTCATTCAAAGATCCCCCCCTCCTTCTATATCCACAAGGCGCGTCTCATGTACTCATTATTAGTTTTGATGAATATTTATACTACTTCAGCCGCATGAAATAGTACTCAATCAATTAAATGTGTACATTAAATATATTTATCCTTTTTGACATGGAACGAAAAAGAGTTTTTGAGAAACTTCCTTTTTTATGTACAAGTAACATAACTGTTTTTGAAATAGATTCATCTCGGGTGGTAATTATTAAAAGTTAATTTGTATCGGTGGGATATATCCATTACATACATAATTTTCACATAAAATATTTTTCTATTATCAAATGATGATAGTTCAGTTGATGCATGAAAGTTAAATAAATAAGGGTGAAAGCACATGCTCGATCTTTATCAATATCATCTTTGAGAAGGTTTAAAGTCTTAATCTTGAACTCATCCCGAATACTATTACCTTCCGTGCACTGGCGTAGTCACTTAGTCCCTAGATGGGGCCCGGCCCCTGCTGACTTTTAAAAAATATTATTATTATATAAATATAATTAATTATTATTTGGCCCCTTCTAAAGTTAAAATTTGGCTCCACTTATGCTCTTTGTCTCTCAGCTAATAGGCTAATATATTCTCAGTGGAGTTAGAAACCCCAGCGGTGTCTTCGTGTCTGCTCGCGGTTCTCTCAAAGCTAGAAACCCCAATGTATTTGCTTTAAAATTGGTGCTTTTTTATTCTGAAATTTTTCTAGTTTTCTTTTGATTGATTTTATTTTGTGAAGATATGCTTGTTAGAGTGGAGTGTCTTTGAGTGTTTTGTTCTTTAGTGTTTCCTTAAATATTTGAATCTAAATCGTTTTTATACACTCTCCCTTGACAAATTATGAAGTTATGCAGCATCTCTATGACTTTATTTAACAGCGACAAAGCCTATTGCATTTCATGTTGTTGCTCTTTAAAACAAAATGTTTTTTTTTTCTTTCTCACAATAACTATTTTATAAATAGTTAGGAAATTGCAAGCAATTACTTAATACTTATATGATACAGCCTGCAGTTGTATAAATTAATTCATGATAGTTTAGTGACTTACGACACCTTTATTTTAATATCTAGCAAAAGTAAAAAATATAAAGAACATGCAAAAACATTATAGTTTACACTTTACACTAACAAGAAAATGCAAGAACATTATACACTTTACACTTTAAATAATTTTAGACATTTGTCGCTGAATATTCCATGTTTCTTTTTAATTGTGAAGTTTGCTCTGCCCCTCTACATTGACGTTTTTTCACGGGTCACGAATCCACCAGGTTTCTGTATTTTTTTTTCATATTGCACTTAAGAGTCATGACTTAATTATTATCACAATGACTTTTACAAAATGACTTTTTTCATATTTTTTTCATATTGCACTTAAGAGTTGCCAAAAGCATCCTCGACGTTTTCAAGCTTTATGGTTCAAAGAATTTTCTTCGTGGCTTGAGTATTCACCTTCTATAGATGCTGCATTTTGTTTACCGTGTTATCTTTTCACTACAAAAGTTGGTGGGCGACATGGTTGGGATGCATTCACAATCAAAGGTTTTAATACTTGGAAAAAAGTTCATGGTGGAAAGAATTGTGCTTTTCTAAGTCATATTGATAAAGTTATGCATGCTCAAAGCTCCCAACAAATTAAAAAAAATAGGTTGTGTGTTAAGACTTCAATTGATGTTGCTCGTTAGCTTGCTTTTCAAGGATGTGCTTTTAGAGGGCATGATTTGAATTTTCAATGTTGTGTGACATTATTTAGTAAATAATTTAGATAAGTATGCTATAATTCTTGGTAAATTTTTTTCTTAATAAATTTATGTAATTACGATAAATATTTTGATAATTTGATGTGTCAAATTTTTTGGCCCCGGCTAAAATGAAATCTTGGCTCCGCCACTGCTTCCGTGAATGGTATCTGTTGTTTATCAATATATTTATATATATATATATATATATATATATATATATATATGTATATATATGTATATATATATATATATATATATATATATATATTTCTATTCTATATAAATGATTTTACATACTACTTGATGTAAGTAGGGCATGTGAAAAAAAACTATCTACTAAAGGAAAATTAAATACGTTTAGAAATTAAGTAAATATAAATATAATACAAATTTTATCATATTTTAGTCATAAATAAGTTTAATTAGTGTGTATAAATAGTATATCTATACTCAAAGTGAGATTATATCACTCTAAACTTTGCTAGAAAGCAATGCAATACAATATGATGACAGTATTACATTTGCTGACTTAGAAAGTGAAAAAAGTATAACTTTAATATTATGAATATGTACTACCTTTAGTACATAGTTATAAATGGTTAAAAGGACATAAGATACATCCTTTAAAAGGACAAATCATTTTCCCAAATTTATATTATGACATGTTTTATTAACACATTCAAATTATTTGGAGTATTGTACCCTAATTTATTTATTTTTTTATAAACCATGAGTATTTTCTACAGGAAGACATCTTATTCGAGTCGGAAACATCCACTTTATGATGTGGCTAACTCTCCCAAAGAGGATTTTTTTTGTATTTACAAGGACTTGAACCCAAGATCTTGCTTAAGCGGCATCAAGCATGTACCATTTGAATCAACCCCTGTTGGTGTTGTACCCTAATATAAAACCTTTATATTAAACAAAATTATTTTTTTTGTAACATAAGGCCACATGCCTAACAAAAGAAAGAAACAGAAATTATAGTAAAACCTGTCTAGCTCTAAACACAGAGCTGAAATCAAGAAAAAAAAAAACAGTTATCTAATTCCCTGAAGGGGAGATTGGAAAGTCATATACTCATCCTGATCAGGCCACTCCAAAGGAAGATTTGCCAGCCAGTCCGCACAAATGTTGTCTTCTCTATAAGTATGTTCTAGTCGCATAATCCACCTCTTAGAAAGTCATTCTCGTATCCAAGCCACAAGATGAGACTCACAGTATGCATCACCAATCTTGATGAGCAAAGTGATAGTTTTGTTGAATCACTTTCGAGAATTACCCTTCTCCAACCTTCTTCCTAAGCCGATTGTAACTCTTTCAGAATTTCCCATAATTCCGTTGTTATTGCATTGCAAAAACCTACCTTGTAAGAGAAAGCATATATCCATTGCCCTCCAGGACCACGTTAAATCCTACCACACGTAGCACTACCCAAGTTACCTTTTGAAGCACTATCTGTGTTGAGCTTTACCCACCCACTCTCAGGAGGAACCCAACAAATCATAATATTAGAATAAGTCTTTTGAATAACAGAGTTGTCCATCTAATGAGAAGCATTAAAATTTTCCAGAGATTTGGATTTTATCACCTCAATACTATATTTATCTTTGTAC